GGTATATAAGTCTTAACTGCTACTGCTATTGCTACTGCCAATCTAACAGCCACTTCCAGAGTAGAACTCTCCCATTGGTAATTATTACTAATTTAACATTGCTAATCATTACTAATCTAGAACTGATATTGATATTTTATGTGTGCTACATGTGGTATCTCACAGTTTATTTCACATCTTTTAGTATGTTACCTTACACCACAAAATAGTTTTATAATTTAAATAACTCAAATGCTTCTAAGATTCTGCAACGTCCTCATGAATGTAGTTTATCTAGATTTCTTATAAGTTAATATACTTGTCCCGGTCAAGAAAGCAATGATTGAATGGGCTTAAAAATCACTGAAATCAAAGGGCAGAGAGAGAATTTCAAAATGACATAGCTGAAAGAAGGAGCATTCCCCTTCCAGGATGAAATAATTTCTTGTCAGCATCACTCCATTAAATAATTAGGAAAGAAAGACTAAGAAGTTCCATGTATTGGAAATCAAAAGCACTTTTACTAATTACAAATGGTAAGCGAGCAGTTGCGAAGCAAAGTCTACTTAATTAGGCGCGAAAGCGATTGATATATAGAATAGTCCATTCCCCACCCCTTAGGATCATAGCCTCAGGCCAATCATAAGTCCTTCAAATGTCAGGTGTGAGATAACTTCAAAAAGACATCACGAAGATGGAATGTCGCGGCCGTTGGTCCAGGCGGGAAGCACTCACGCATGCGCAATCCAACCATCTGGTACATCCTAGAACATTCCTCCAGCACATCGAATAACCCCTCCCAAATACCAGCCCTCCCTCCCCGTTTCATGACAGCTGAAGCAACAGCAAGGCAGAAGCTGACATTTCTATTCATTGCTATATTTAATGTACTGGGAGCACATATACATCCTGGGGCAAAAGTATACATAACAAAAGTTTAAGATATTAGAAGAGCTGAAATGTTAGAACCAGTGTCCAATCATATAACATTATTTCATAGATATAAGGAGGGTAAACCAGTGATCCTCAGACTGCAGTACATTTTATGTAAATACAGAGTGGACGTGTCCAACTTTCAGGGCCAGAAAAAGAANAATGTCAAATGTTCATCAGGGTATCCATGGGAGCGATCCTAAGAGGAGCAAGTCGCACAACATGCATCTTGACATCGTGACACAAACTCTGACCTTGAGTATTGCATGGAATGTTGTGATGCAAATCCTGTTTCAAATACCAAACAAATAATGGAGTTTGCATCTTAATGTCGCAATGCCCGTTTTGTTAGAGGTATGGATGCCCAGGCTAAGGGATCCTGCCTTGAGACCAGCTAAACTCCCTCTACCATTTCCTAAATTTTCTTTTAATTAAAAGTAAAACACAAAGTTGGTTTGCTACAAAACAAAACTTTCGTACTTTCCTTCCCATCACCCACCCACCCCTATTTGGAACGACAGGGATCTTTGAAAATTAAAAAGGATTAATAGTTCTCTAGAAGGGCATCTAACTTGAATATACTCAAAAGTTGGCTACACTTGTAGGGGAGAAAAACTAAAAGAAACCAAGACTGAGATGGAGTGACATTATACATAGTAAGGAAGTAATAATAATAACAAAAACTGAAATCTCTGGGTTTTTTTTGCAAGTTTTGTATTTAGTAATATATTTTTAGAACATTTAATATACTAATATGGTTCTATATACTTGTGTCAAAGGAAATTTGCATCTATGTTCTGTGAAAGACTAATATGTGACTTTTTCAGAAAATTTTTTACTCATCTTTGGGTACTACAGTTTGCTCCACTCTTGAAAGTACTAGAAAGATAGCAAAATTCAGAAAAATTCCTGAAATCTTAAATGCAATAATTATTACTAGAAGGATAGACTGTAACATATAAATAAATTTTTGGAGTTTTTGGATTTATGACAGTGATTATATTTCTAGGTTATTGTTCAGAAGAGTAGTGCAATCTAGAAGTCTAGCATTTAATAAAAGGCAGTTCAGTTTAGGTGAAATTATCTGTGCTGAACTGTGCTCCGTCCTTATTTTAAATAGCTGTTACTAATCTGTAGGCATGAGATCCATGACTAATCCATTTCCTGGGTAGAGTTGCTAAAGGTTTAATATGTAATCGCCTGTCTCTTTGCATGTAAAAATTACTAGAAAGCATTGTATTTAATGGCTTAAGAACTATGATTAGACTAGTGACTATTAGATAAATTGTATGGGAAAGTAATTGGAAATGCAGCCAAAGGAATACACATTATGGAGAATTGCAAGCTATTCATTTGCAGAAACACTAAATTATCTCTATAGCAAGAAAACAGCAATTAAAACAGCAAGCAGCAAAGGGGATGGTAATGGCACTCTGTAAAATTACAGCTGTTCCACAGAGGTAAGGAAACAAAAATTAATCAGAAACGGGCAGCTTAACTAAGAAATTATGACATCTTTGGCTGACTGGAGCATAGCTGTCAAGGTTGGGCTGTTTGGTGGTCAATAGTGACATTCCATGTGTCAGTGAGCCTGAGTCTCTTGATACAGGAACCCTCAGTTCACACATTACTGAAGCTCCAACTGCCGAGCATTTAAGTCCCTTGGTGCTCCGGAAGCCTCCAATTTCTCCTGACTGGCTCATGTTTCATTCTTTGGCAATTTGCCCTAATGATATCCCTCAGGAGCTTTCAGACTTTCTTCTTTTCCATATTTAATCCTGTTATATTAATCTGAATAGGAGTATGTAATGCTCTTCAAAATTCTGTTGCTTTGTGGGTTGTTTTTTTTTTTAAAAAATAAAGCATTTTCTCTGCTCCTAATTTAGGCTGGAAATTCATAACACAAACGGTTTGCTTAATTCTAAAGTGGAAGCTGAATTTTCTCTGAAAGATCTTTGGTTTGTTGGTGGCATTCATATTTAAGAAATAAAAGCCTCTTAAAACATGAGGTAGGAATAGCTGGCAGAAGCATCTGAGCTTTCTTGGCCACCCCAAGTTCAGGTGGCCTGTGTCCCACCCCTTTTGGAAATGGCCCTGCTCTTTGCTTTTTATTGTATCATCTTATAGATTCAGAACTTGATTTGCTTTATGTATCTGGGCTACCATACTTGTGTGATCCGCTATGTGAATGATAAGAAAAATTACATTCTATTGCTTCTATACCTTCATCCTCTGGCATGTTTGCTATAAAAGCAGAATCCTCAGTGCTGTGTAAACAAAAGTTCCATCCTTGATGCCAGGTTTGCGTTTCTGAGCTCATTGCAGTCGGAATACTGGAATACGTACATTAGTATAGCATCAGGAAACACGTAGTTGATAAGCAGAGATTTGCAAAGAGAAAGCGGAGCAGTGGATTATATTCTGGCTATTGTGACCCTACAGGGCCTTCTGAGAATTAGGATCCGTTTCATGTGAAATTCATCTGCTGGCTGCATCTGGCTTTCTTTGCAACCGGTTTGTCCTCAGAAACACATTGTTGTTAATCTCCTCCATAGTTCAAATAGCTCTCATAATATGAGCCAGTCTAACACTTAAGAAGTGCAGGGTATTATGTGCAAGATGTATTCCTCGCACCCTTTGTGAATTGTAAAACAGACTGGGGCTCCTGAGACAATTGTTAGTAGAGACTTAACTCCTCATTAAATTAAAGTAAGACCCCTGTTTAGCATTTTACTCAGGGAAGATTCTAGAGTAGTGCCAGCTTGGAACCATTTGTTTGCCTTAATAGCCTTTTCTCTCTGGGATATTGTCCTTGGCATGGAGTTTGTTCTCTCTACCTGGACCACTTCTGCCACACCTTCTCCTGCATAGCAAGCCCTGCAGCTGGTATTGTTATCTCAGATGTTGGCCTCAAACCCAACCAAGATAGGTCTCAGGGGAGCCTCTCCTTCTTCCATCTAATAAAAAAGACCATTGTTTCTTTAAGACGGGAGTGGGGTGCACAATGTTGGGGTGGTTATTGCTGCAGTAACTGTCTGTAAATGGTTGAAGACCACTATGGGTAAGACATGAATATTATATGCATAGGTCATCTGATGAGTTGGAAGCTTCTGAGAAGAGTGGTGCTTTGTTGCTTGTGGGAGGTTTAATCCGATTTTAGTCTTAACATTGTAGATATTATTATTATTATCTATGGGCACTATATCACAGAAGTGAGTACACCCCCTCACATTTTGTAAATATCTAAGTATATCTTTTCATGTGACAACACTGAAGAAATGACACTTGGCTACAATGTAAAGTAGTGAGTATATAGCTTGTATAACAGTGTAAAGGTGCTGTCCCCTCAAAATAAGGCAACACACAGCCATTAATGTCTAAACTGTTGCCAACAAATTATTATAGCAAAGTATAACAAACAACTATTATCCCACAGAATTGTCATATTTCGGCCCTTCCATTTTAAATGTCTGCCGGCCTGACTGATACAAAGTACTTGTATTTCTTTTCTAAAATGACCAATTGGTGTTTCTGAAAACCAATAACCAGTTTGGAAGCTTTATCTTGACAATTTAGCTAATCTTGTACCAATTCTCCCTGATCTCCATATCTATCTTACTCTTTATGCCTGTAAAACTGAAGTTTATAAACCTGTCAAACAAACGGATGTACAAAAACTCAAAAGTTCTGCTTTGAATCTAATCCCTTAGCATGAAAGATTTTTCAATACAATTTACTTTCTTATGTTCTGGTTCACGTTACAATAAAGAGAGAATATCCAATGTGCTTTGTCTCTGAGCGACAGCATTCTGCCTAGGAATGAATATATATAAAAAAACATTTATAGGTTGAAAGTGGCTTCCTTTCAGTAGAAGATAACTATTTCTACTGTGTGATTATTACTGATATTTCATTATGTGACTGAAAGTAATAACAGCCTTTCCGCTGTACATAGAAATTCAGTACTTATCTGAATATTGTATATGCATAATTGCAGGTTTATTGTTGCTGACATGATTAATACAATGTTTTACTTCTTGTCTTTCTTACAACATTAACACTTTTGCTGTGTCTGCTTTGAATTCTAGTTAACCGCTTGTGTCCATGGGTCAGCTGCATTGCTATATCCAATGTACTGGCAGCATATATACATCCCAGTGCTCCCACCACATCTCCTGGATTACTGCTGGTAAGAGGCTACATGTATTATTCTTTACCTCTCTAATAATTAAGCAAGACAATATGTTGTTGCCTTTTAATTAAATAAATAGAATCATTTGAAGATTAAATCCAGTTGTAATAGTACAGACTCAGCACTGCTTTATACAGATAACAAATATTTGAAACTGTACTTCTGCAGGACTAAGATATGAAACACGCCTTATTTTTAGATCCCTAGGTTTTAGAAGTTGGAGAATTACTGACATGAGACAAAATCCAAAATTTCGTACTATCTCTCTTTTTTTATATGTTCCAAATGGATGTAGAGATACCAAGTGATTCAGAATGTTTCTCTGTTGAGGGAAGGTAATCAAGTACAAACTCATTGAGAGCTATTAAATGTCATCATCACTAATTATATTTATTAATATGATTACATTTATTTGCCACCTGTCTCACCATGGGGCTACTTTAGGCAACTTACAACAATAAAAAAAATGAAGAAATAAAAGGAAAGTTTAAACAAAGCAAAAATAAATAAGAGAACGATAAAATAAACAAAAAGAAAACCAAGAAAATCCATCAATATAACTATGGTAGTAAAAAAAAAAAAGAACGATAAAAAAAACAAAAAAAAAACCAAGAAAATCCCACAAAATAACCATGGTAGTAAAAAAAAAAAAGAGGGACGAATGAGGAGCAGAGAGCGGAGGGGAGGTGGCGCAGTG